GGCCGCAGCGCCGGGGGGAGCCCGCGGCCGGGCGGGCAGCCGGGCAGCCCGAGCGCAGCGGGAAAGGGGAGACCTAGGAGAAAGCGGAGGAGTCCGGCCACGGGATTTTCTCCCTCCGCCCGCCAATTCACGGTTTGCAAGGTGTGGCCTGTCTCAGCCTGCTTAGGGAATGGGGTGAATCAGGTGTCCCCTTAGAGTGTTTCGTTGTTGGATGGAGGTAGGTGTTGGATGTGGATCTGTGGTAGAGCTCAGCCCTAATGTAAGCAGTAAGCTCTGAGGTTTGCTTCCTTCGGGTCTGCTGTCAGGCTTTTACAGCCATTTTGGGCATTTGCTTAACACACCTGGCTTTGAAGTTGCTCCAGACTCACAGTTCCTATTTTCTCTGACATTAGACAGACAGGTTTGAAAATGTGGATTAATGCTGAGCATCACTTTCATGCGTTGTCCTTCATCTGTTCTCACATATACACACGCACACATTTTTAATAATTTCCAATTTCCAATCACAAAAGGCCGTCTATGAAATATCACCAATGACCTGCATCCTGTGCCTTCACAGTATCATTGAAGCTAAGACATGAATGACAAATAGTAGCATGTTCCTGTGGAAAGAGACTCTATGGGTCTTCAGAATGATTCTCCTGTATGATCCTCTGTATGAATTCTCTGTATCTCCTGTATGAAAAATACAGACGTGTATCATGCTTTTTGTGTCCCATAGTCCCCCGCAGTATGCACACGGTGGTTAGCGTTAAATAAAAAAGAAATCCCCACAACTTTTTGGCCTCTTAAAATTTTTTTTGTGATATGAGGCACATAAAATGGGAAGTTTTACATGAACACAATCCTATTGTAAAGTTAATCTCAGGAGAAACGTGCATGATGACACATGAGCAAATCGAGAAGATAAGCTATAAACCAATAGGATGTGATCTCTATAGGTCCCTTCCAACCTTAACCATTCTGTGATTCTGTGATTTTGTGATTCAAGGCACTAATGAAGGCAAAGAGAAATCTTTCAACAGAGAAATTCAGAATGCTCAAGCAAACCACATAAACATGACAAAAAATAAAGTGTATGTCAAAACCTGGAGAGTATTGTCTGTTAGAAGAAAAGAAAATAGATCGGCATTGACACATAGATCTCTAAATTAACTTTCATTTCAGGGATGGGATCTTGAACTATGCTAGACATAGAATAACAACTTCTGAGCTAGCACATCAGTTGGAAAATAACATTATGTTAGAATGCATAAGAAATGCAACAGATAGCAAAATATGCAATTATAAAAGGCGGATTTTATAAATATGTAAAATGGCTTTCCCTGGGTGGTCTCATGTGGAATACTGAGCACGCTAGGGCTCATCCCATCTCAGAAAGTTACTGCAGAATTGTCAGGGGAGCTCAAGAGAGAGAAAACACAAAAGAATGAGCAAGAGCACGGAAAAATCTCTTTTATAAAGAGAGATTGTATACCAAAGATGAATACAAATGTATAATTTAATGACTAGTATTTAAAGAGCAGGATAGGATTCTCTCTGTCTCATAGGATAATAACAAGGTAATGGTCAATGAAATTATGTCAGCTGCAATACATACGGTCTCATTTCATGTAATTAGGAGTAGCACTAATAGGAATTAGCATCTCTACTATAGTAATATTCCCCCCCCCCCCCCCCCCGATCAAGAACAGATATGTATTGTACTGAGCACTGCAAAAACTAATATTAAATACTAGGATAGGAAGAAGTAAGCATATGGCATCCTTCATACTATATGCCTGCTTCATACTACAAGGCACCTGAAAGCTACGGTGAAGCTGCCTGTACTGTGGATGCGTGCCCAGCCTGAAGAGTTGACACAGGGTAGTTTCTCAAAGGAGGGGCAAGTTGTGTAGTGCGACAACACTGTGCTTTGCTCAGGGCTGACACCAAAGGCATTCTTTAGCCTATAGGTAACAACCAATAAAACCAACACAGAAGATTACGTTCCTGTAAACTCAATGGTAAAGCATCAGTTCAAAAGGCTGCT